GTTATTGTGAGTAATTTCCAAGTTACATAATTTAAAGGCTAAACATAGTGAACTGTCCCCAAATTATTAGTTAAGGCACTGCATATATCTGCCAGATAATTCCTTTGCAGGTTAGGGCTCAACAAGGAGAAGAGCTTCGGGCCCAGCTCCACTAGTGAGAGCCACACTCTCTCAAGCTTGGGCTCCACCGAGGTGCAGAACACCAGGCCCAGCCCCACTAGCGAGAGCCGCACTCTCCCAGGCTCGGGTTCCTGCAAGGAGCAACACCATGAGCTGAGCCCCACTAGTGAGAGTATAGAATACATTAAATTCAGGTAAGTTATTGTGAATTATTTTAAGATTATATAATTTAAAGGCTAAGCATAGTGAACTGCCCCTAAATAATTAGTTAACACAATGAATATATCTGCCGGATTTCAACCAGATTAGATTTTTACTAAATATGAGAATTGCCAATCTGGTCTAAATCTTTTTTTTTTTCCTTTCTTTCTTTTGATGTTTCTCAAACAACAAAAAATGGTCATTAGTATACAACAGTATATATAAATATTATAAAAATGTGAAAATTGATAATCTATACTGAATCTAACCACATTTACTGAATTGTGAATGGATAGGCCTAATAGTGAATACCCTCCCTTTTAGTAAACAGTGTATTGACCAAATTACCAAATATTTACATTTTGTATAGTGTATAGAATTATGACTTGCTCAGGATTATTATTTATCATGCCCAGTATTCCCCCTAATTCAATTTAGCACATTCAAGTTTAATTTAGTAAACACTTGAGCGTGAAATTTAGAGACATTATTGGGAATAAATTCAAAATTACATATTTTAAAGGCTAAATATAGTGAACTGTCCCCAAATTTTGCTGTATATATCTTCCAGAAAATTCCTTTGCATGCTAGGGCTCAACAAGGCTCAACAAGGAGGAGAGCTTCGGGTCCATCTCCACTAGTGAGAGCCGCACTGTCCCAAACTTTGGCTCCACCCAGGAGCAGAACACCAGACCCAGTTCCACTAGCGAGAGCCGCACTCTCCCAGGCTCGGATTCCACCGAGGAGCAACACCATGAGCAGAGCCCCACTAGTGATAGGATAAAATACATTAAATTTATTTAAGTTATTGTGAATAATCTCCAAATTACATAATTTCAAGGCTAAGCATAGTGAGCTGACCCCCAATGCATTAGTATGCCCAGAGGAGGGGCAGTAGAGCAGCCATGGCTCCTCACAGGTTTCCTCCACCGGGGGTTTTTCCTGTCCTGAGAGCTGCTGTACACACCCAAGAAATATTTTTAAAAATGCCATAAATACATGTATATATTATATTAATATTATTACCTATAAATTATCATTATTAATGTTTAGCCTTTTAATCTATATAAATACCAATGTCTATTGACATGCAATATGTATTTTATATGCTATTTATAAAAATACACCAGTATAAACTAATAATAAATTAACCCAATTATATAAAACCATTTCCTTATGTCTTTTGTGTTACTTTCTTCATCTGTTTAATTGGTAAACTTACGGTGTTTAGTATCATTTAGGAGTTTTTGATTGGTGGATAGAGTACAGTGAATTACAACAGAATTTCACATAAATCACATCAAGGGGTTTTATACCTGTACATGTAAGCATCATGAGTCATTAATTATAGTTAGAATTGTTGGACGTTGAAAGTAAATTTAAAATTTAAGACCAAAATCACTGAACTGAAAAAAAATCTCTAAATCATCTGTTTTCAGTTCAGCTATTTTGGTATTAAAAAAAACTTGAAATTC